TAGTACATTATTTCAGCAACATGACAAGCCAGTGAATTAGCAGGTTTCAATTGTTGCTTAGCAGAGTGCGTGACATTTTATCTACATGTTATGCGGCTAGAGTTTTGACACCGAGTCAATGGGCTCTGTGTAATTCTTTCTTTTTCGCTTGTTTATCGTCATCAGTCTTTTTCCTTTTACCCATCTTTGTTTTATGAGCAGGTGTCACTCGAGAATTGGACGACGGTACGCGCTGTGCAAGATAGGGGTGTGATCAGCGCGTACACGAGCGTGACTGACACTGCTAAGACATTCCTCCTGGCTCTGATTGGTTGTTTCTGACCGGAAGCGTGTATTTCTATGGCAATAGGACCACTGGGAGGAGCCAGAGGAGCTTGATTTTTACACAGATTATCTGTCTCATATTCTACTGTCAGGACATAATGACAGTTTTAGCAAATACATTTTTTTCAAAAGTTACCTACAGCAGCTTTAAAAAAAGTAAACTGGTTGCCTTAAAATAAAAAGGAGATTGGTTTAATCAACAGAAACTCAAAATAGTATGTTATCTGAACTACATAAAAGATCTAAGTTGACTTGACAAAAGAAAAAATGTTGTGATAAATCATTAAACAAATGTTTTTACAGCGTGGATGCTTAAAAACAGTTTTCTTCTTCTGTGTTTTGAACTTAAGAGGCACAATTGATATTTAAATTTATGAATTAAAAACTTTTATCCAAAGCAAATTACATTGCATTTTATAAGTTCATGCTTTCTTGGGAATCGAACCAAATTGTATTCCTAATTTGAACATTATTGTATTACACTGTATTGAAACATAATTAGATAGAAGAGGCTTGGAAGTTAGCTTAAAGGTACTTTGATATAGTTTAACAAGAAAATTTTATCAGGATACTTGTACAACAATAAAACCTAGGCTCAACTTCAACTATACTAGATTCAACTCCTTATACAGCTCCTCTCAAAAGACCTTAAAATGACCAAAACAATCTGACCAACAGCAGATGATGTTTGTAGGAAATTTGAAAGTGCAATAAATGTAATTAATAAATGTAGCAGGAACATCTGAGAACTTCATTTTCCATGTTCATGTACTTTTAATTCATTCTAAATTAACTTTGAGAATAACTGGAACACAGGAAAATTCCTTCAGTGTGGTTTTTTATGATTCTATGGCTCTTTAAAATGTCACAAATTATTGCACACTTACATACCATTGATTCAGTTTTACTTTGAAGAGTTTCAAAAGTTTTGCCCATACAATGGTGGTCATTGGAATGAAAACCACATTGGACCCTCATGACTTTCATTGCACGGACAAAAAACACATCGCCCAAAACCCTTTCCCTTTAAGGAAATGCATGGCCTGCCTCAAAGATAATCAGTCTATCTATGCTTATCTTCTCAAGGACACTACTTGTGAAGTGAAGATAAACTCTAGTAAAACATAAAGCCCTTAAGACGACAAAAGAGCCCATGGGATGCCTGTGGCAACAGCGGTCCACCACACCGTGCTCAATCAAGAACCATTAAGACTGGTAGCCCCAATTCCATACACAAATCCACAGCAAGTTGCTCGTTGCATTTATTTCTTTTAATGGCGTTCCCTCTATTGGTGTTATGAGGACTGTAAAGTGAGGCTGAGGGTGAGCTTATAAAAAGGGGGGCATACAGCAAATACACACAGCATGAAGCCACACTTTTATGTGCTTTATAAAGGCTGACAAGCTTTCCCTCTTGCACTATCATTCCTTTTAAAGTTCACCCATTTCTTATGCCTCCTGCCATTCCATATGAAGCTGTTTCTCATTAGGGATTAAACAGAGTTAGGCTCTCCGTTCCCATAATTAAGGCATTCCTAAAATCAATCTCTCCTCTTAAATCCTTTGGTCAAACCCCTCTCTTTTCCAGTAGCAAGACATTCCACTGATCGGATACCTAGCGTATCAAGGTGTGTGAGATTGTGGATTATGTACTTTAGCCTGTGTGTTTTGTTAAGAACTGTGTTTGTGTGTGCGCCTTTGTTCTTGACCTCCCCTCTTTGACCTTTTTGTCTTACTACAAAATCCAATTTCAGGCATTGGTAACCCTCTCTATTCCCAAATACCGAAGAAATTACAGCAGTCGGCCACAGATGAACACGCCCATAATGCTGCGGGACCTGACACAACAATCAAAGACGCTGTCCCCCTCATCCGGCCCGCACTCCCACAGACGACCCTTGACTTCTGACCTCTAGCCTGTCTGGCACGGTGGGTGCTATTGAGGGTGGATCCATGAGATGGGGGCAAATTAGGTCAGATTGCGGTGAGCTGTGCATTACAGCCGAAATTGGAAACACATGCTGCGGCCCACAGCGTGAGAGAGAGTGAGAGAGAGAACACCAGGAGAGAGCTAATAGTGGTGCTGGGGGTGAGGAAAATGAAGGTAATGTAAGGTGGAGTTCTGATGTGTGTGTGTGTGTGTGTGTGTATGGGGGGGGGATAAATGAATGACGCCTCTTTGAGAACATAAGTCTAACCTCAGGCCCAGGAGAGCTTCCGTGGACAACATACTGGTCTCCTTGACAGCTCTGCTATTTTCAATAATTGCTATAATGGCTATGTAACAGATTGAAGTTGCTTTGATATTTGAGGTTTGAGGTGGGATAGCCATTGCCATGGAAATAAAACGAACGTGCAGAGACACTATGAGCAGGGGACACAAAGAAACAAAAATGTACCACAAGTATAATAATTACTTAAAAGCTTCTTCAGAGTTTAAAAGAAGGATGTATTACCATTAATAATTAAATGAATAAATAAAAAATATCTATATTATTACATTTGATCATTATATTTATTAACATTATAGATGTAATATTTATTATTTTAATGTTGTTTCAATCAGTTTAATATTGCTTAGGCTTAAGGGGGGGGGGGGGGGGGGGGGACCATAAAATGTATTATTATTATTTTAATTTCTATTACAATAAATTTAATAACGCAGTTATGACTAAACCTATATAGACATACTAAAAACTAATAAAAATGACAAAAACAACAAAATGACTAAGTTTAACTCAAATTAAAATAGAAAATAAAAACTCAAAATAATAAAATTATACAATGATATAAATTTTACTAAAAACTATAATAGATACATTAGTATAATTATAACATGCAGCATCTATTTATTGAACGCCTTTCCCAAAGCTCAAGGTTACGTGCGAAGGATAGTCTCTTATCTGTGGTTCGGCATCTGAAAAATTTCGTCAGAGGCTCTCGTTTATGACTCAGTGTCAGTGACGTGTGGTGTGGTCCTTGTGTGATGAGGTGTTTGGAGTGGTAAAAGGTCTTTCATAAAAACAAGTAATGCTGGTTCACACTATACTAAAAGGCCTTTTGGCTAATTAAGATGCAGAAATGGGCTACATTTTTATCCTTCCACGACAAGGTGTTGGAGATTTCTGTGCATTTGTGTTTAGCCATTTGAGTGCGAGTAAGAACTTTTGTACCTCCGTTTGAGTTGTCCCTTCTTTTCCTTTCTACCTTTGTTCGCCTGTCATCTCGCTCAATACCTCAGTGACTCCTCTCTCTCAATCTTTCTCTGTTCTTGTGGCTCTCTCTCATTCTCACTCTTTCAATCTCACCAATAAGCCCTGGGGTTGAAATATCTAAGTGCATACAAAACAAGTTCAGACAAAACCAGAGAGACCGAATAGTGTTAAGGAGGTAAGGACTGGGAGTGAATGACACTAAATGCCAAGAGGGAGGAACAGCGTCAGGAGAGAGGAATAGCATCAGGAGAGGACAGAAGCAAAGATCTGAGGGGGCCGGATCACATTTTAGACTTTACTGAGCTTTGTATTTGTGTGTGTGTGTGTGTGTGTACGCACATGTGTTTGTTAAATATGAAGTTCCACAACGGTTCCCCGTTCCTTTTTGAAAACCTCTTTTCTGTACCCCTCTCGTTCTCTTATTCTCTCCCCATCCCCTAACTCTTTCATGGACAGTCTCACAGGGGCAGGGTTGTAACAGAACACTTCTCTCTTTTGTGTCCTTTCTTTTCCTTATCCTTTCATCTTTTTACATTTTCTGGGGAAATGGGTTTTGGTGGGATGGAAATTTCTGCTAGGTGAAAGAAGGAAAGAGGAGGGGAAAACAAGAGACGGAGAACGAGAGAAGGCAATATACACGTCCTACTGCTATAAAAACTACGGGCTGGTTGGCAGTAGATGCTGTACAAAAATAAATAAATAAATCTCCAGAGGAAATTGCCCCCCATTTCAAGAGCTGGTCCCAAAATCTAACACATTCAGACCCCCACAAACTGACATGACAAATGAGTCTGCTGTCCTCTACTTTTCGTTGCAGTTATTAACAACTTAAAAATCATCATTGGTGTATGATGCTTGCATGTGGTGATTAGTTTGGACTTAAACTCAATTAACCACTTGCTAAGACAGTCTATCCATTGCATTTAAGCAATTTTCCCACTCTCTTTTTTGTGTTTTTCCATTATGAGATTGAGAACTCTCTACACCCACCGCAAGCAGATGGTCCTCGTCCTTTTTTTCCTCCACCATAATGTCTTCTTTCACTCTGTCCATTCCTCTTCTTCTAAACCAGCCCTCTTTCACTCCCACTGGCTGTTGTCCCCTCACCGCCTTTCATGAAGATACCTTATCGCGCGACTTCAGCACTCAGACCTTCTCGCCGCGGGAATTTTTGCATTCACTTAACGCTCTATTTTAACTTTTTTTTCTTCAGATTCAGCGTCTCTCATTTAAAGCTTCAAGTCGGCGATTTGGTGTCTGACTGCTGGAAAAGTAGAGCTCACGCTCATACACAGTGCAGACGTGCATTATTGCCCTGGTTGTTCACCGCTTGCATGTCAATCCTCCAGAAACTCGCGCGTGAAGACAGACCTGAGGTTAAAAGTCGCGTTTTAAACAGATAACCGTGGAAATACAACTCAACGTGGACCTTCTCAGAGTGGACTCTGGAGATGATATGGGACACGTCTGCCGTTTCATCTATGTGAATCGAGAGTTATTCTGGAAATTTCGTTGATTTTTGCGTGAGATTGACGGACTGTAGAATCAATGTGGTGTTTGCCGAAGATACGTGTGGCTCGAAACTCACCTAAACGGTAGGTGCTGCTACGTCAACTATTCGTACGCTTCCGATAACATCTAACGTGGCGAAATGACAGATGCAGTTTATTTGGGTTCATTTTCGTAACAGCTAATTTAATGTGAAGCAGGTGTTGATCGGACTCGTTGATGACAGGTTGTCAAGAATCAGAATTAGCGAATGTAAACGAATCGTTCTTTTGAATCGAATCTTTGTAATAAATCTGATGGACCGGTTCGCAAAATGATTCGTTCACAAAGCGGAAAAATTCAACTTGACGTTAGATAGAGTCACTCAGTGAACCGAGTCTTAGTTCTTTTTCTCTCTCTCTTTCGATCTTTTCTGGGGGGAAAAGTCCAAACACATTGGTAGCTACAAAAAATATTTTTTTTATTAAAACATCCTTTCAGGTGATGTAAATTAATTTCAGTATTTGCATTGATTAAAAATTAGTTGTTTTAATGAACTGAATCATTACTGCAATAAACTGGGGCACATAAAATCACAATAAACAGTTGTATTAAAAACAGCCTAACTTATATAACAATAACTATAAAAAACTGCAATAAACATGCAATTTGCCTGCATATTTTCTCAACCGTTTAGAGCATGTAATCTGAGACCACATCACGTAGGCAGTATTGGGGAAAAAAATGCTAAAACCTTTTTCTCTTTTTTTTAATGGATATTTGAAATGATTTCTTCGAAAGAACCGATTCATGGAAATGAGTTGAACTCCCTATTAGGCTGTTACTAGTCGGATTTAAAACGATCGTGAGAAGCGCTTCCCCTGGCATTGAAAGAGATGGATTGAAAACTATTTTGGCGGAAGTCCAAAAGTGTTTAAACTCATATTTTTCAACAGCTAGCACCTCGACAAAACTGGAATAGGCTAGTCATCGATGGTGCTCAGTCCCGTCACTCGAAATGTGCGGTAAAACGGACGTTGCCCGCGTCCATCGTCAATTCAGGTTGACCCAGTGTTTACTTTCCGCGGTCAGCAATTAATGTTTACCATTGTCTGTCTGCCTGCGGACCTGTGGGGAGGAGGTCTGTGAAGTCAATGCAACATGCTGTTGAAATACACAGGTGTGTTTTTGCATGTAGGCAACTATGGCTGTTTCTTTCTTGTGATGTATTAAATAACCCATATGAGTGATAGATTAAATAACCCATATCGTTTAATCGTATGATATTTTAGGTCAAATCCTATGGAGCAAGTGTGAAAAAAACAAAAACAAATGTAAGGACTTATACTGTAGTAGACTTGTACTTTGTCAGTATCAATGAGTTTACAGTAAAGGTGTTTTGGGTGGGTCCATGCAGCCATAAAAATAATAATTAACATTGCATGCACATCCTGCCTGTCACCTAGCCTAGAAAAACAGAAACAAAAGCTCACGACCTTTGTTTACAACATAATGAATGTTTACTTTACCATTTTCTCACCCCATAACACATCATGTGTGAGGGGTAAAGGCTATTGAGACAGAAAAAGTTAGAATAAACCTAAATGTATTCAGTAGGGATCTGAACTGAAGCAGATTAAATTTCTTTATCAGACAGATGAAAGCGGATGGAGATCATCAGAAAGTGTGAGAGGAGTGGAATGTGTCTCGCAGTGTGTGTTGGATGTGTTTAAGCTACTGATTTCTAAACAGCAGCACAGTGCCTGTGATCAGACACATCTGTACAGTATGCAGATGTTTTCTTAAATAAATGATTTAAAGAGAAATGATTTCATAAGAAAGAGGAGGGTCAGTAATGTTTGTTTTGGAATAATAGCCCCTGTTTTTTTAGACTCTTTTTTTTTTTCTTTAAGGAAATTTGTGCAGCATCCTTTTAGGAAAGATGGCTTTTCTCCTCTCTCTCTTTTATTTTACTTATATTAAATGGGTGAAATCATTTTTGTTTTACAATTTCCTCAAAAAGTTCCTCATTTATAGTTCATTATTTAGTTTTACATGATCAATGGTCTGCCACTGTTTTTCAAATATCTTTAAGACTTCCACACATGTTCCACAAATATTTCAGAGATGCAGTTAGGAAACTATGCACTATTTTGTAACATCTGAATAATTTTTAATCCTCTTCCTTATTATTTGACTATGATTGGGCAGGACGGAATACGTGTTCATGTATTCTTCTGTCTGATGAAACAAAATGTGGAAGCTGCAAGGCATTATTGCAGCTCAGTTTCAATAAATGGTCTTTTTTGGTTACAGTAAAAGGTACAGTATTTAGTATACAGTAACTCCTTTATGATGTGAAAAGTAAAACAAATGTAAAAGATACACATTTAATATAAAGTTATACAATTAGATGTTGTCATGATTTGACCCCTTTTACATGATTTTAAATCTGCGTTCTTTATCTTTTATTTTATTTTGAATTCTTCATCTCTTCATATGGGAGTTTAGACAGTGTGCTGCGTTGGATGCTTATGGCCGAGTGTATAGGGCGAGTGGGACGATGGGAAAATTCCAAAATCGTCAGACACGTCAAGTCTGAACAGGGGGCTTGTAGAATGTCTATCATGAGTCATGCTTTTGTTCGGATTGGAGAGGATAAATAAAAAAGGCCATACATTTGCAGTAATTGATTTGACAGGCTTTATACTGTGACACCATGAAGTGGTACTGGACCCTCCGGCTGATTTCCAGTTAAAAATCTTAGAAAGAGGTTATTTTTAAATCGGGCTTAAAGTTTTCAGTGGCGTGAAGCTGAGAATAGAAGGTGGGAGAGCCTAAAGTGTTTGTCTAAGGTGGCTTTTGTCTAGAAGATCGCAGATTATGCTTGTCACGGGGGTGGGAGTAGTGTGTTCGGATCAAAGATATGTGTGAATGTGTGTGCACAGGTTCTTGGGAGGCAGAGTGTATAAGATCGGGTAAACATGCGGGTTCATTGTGTTCAGGAGCTTGACGTTTTCTATGTGAGGGAGGCTCATTTTTGAGCTGCTCGTAAAATGAGGAGAGAAAGTGCAGGGCCACTCTGGATGGCAGAGTTCGTGATGCATGTCATTGCTGCAAATGGAGCGCTCTGATGAAGTGGTTCTGCATGTCTCCCAGCGTCTAAAGGTATGCCTCCTGCACATGTGTGTGCCTGCCTACTGCTTGTGTTCCCTTTCCAAAGCAAACATGTGCATTAACCGGCAAGTATCCTCTCAAGTCACACACGTAGGCTACACATGCACTACACCCTTTTTGCTTAGGTGTGCACACACACACTGCCTTTAACCACAAAGATTCTGTAAAAAGTCATTTTTGGACCGATGACAAGACACTTTTTTTTTGGTCTAGATCTTTTGCAGTAAAAATGCAATCAATGCATACATTGACTTGAATGTGCATCTTCTATGTTGAGCATGTTTTTAATTTATGAGTTCAAATTCATTGTGATATTTTTGGGGGACATAAAGTCCAAAATTGGCTTGGCTTAATCATTTATTATTAGTTTTTAGAGAAAAACCCACATGACTGTGTGTCAAGGTCAACAAGTCTTTAAATACAAGATCATTTGATGCTTTTATGACAAGGCAAGGTTAGTACATCCTGAAAAATGTCATGTGGCATGATTTAATGATAATGATATTTATGAATGAATAATTCATGATTTTCGTGGTGGAAAGTGACGTAGACGCTAAGCACCGAGTTTAAGATTGTATTTTAGGTTGGGGAAATCGAAAACGACCGCGGATATGGAGACACGGGATGCAATTCGCTCTGTTGTGGAGAATATTCCCGGCATTTGCAAACTGAAGCCCGAACAAGAAGAGTGTTTGTTAAACATTTTGAATGGAGGTGATGTTGTGGCGCTACTCCCGACAGGTTTTGGGAAAAGTTTAATTTATCAACTATTACCAATCGTCAGCGAGAAACTGGGCAGGCCAAAGGCCGGTGTTGTGCCTAATTTCGACCCCCGCCAAATTATTACCCCCCTAGTATTGGTAGGTTTAGGATTTGTTGTGGGGGAGGGGTTAGGATTAGGGGCGGGGTTGGGACTAGGCAATCAGGTACTGAATTCAAGGAGGGGGTCGAAATTAGGCACAACACCGGCAAGGCGATAGTTGTGATTGTGTCCCTCTTGAGCCCCTTTCACACAGACACGGATAAAGTGACCCGGGATTTGACCCGGGTTCGTTTGATTTTGCTTCATTCACACTGCCAGTGATTTGCCGGAATCAGAGAGCGCGTTCACACACAACCCGTGTATGTTCCGGAAAGACGCGTGACGTTGGATGTGACGGGTCTCTACTTCAGTCCAGTTTGCAGAAATTTTTTCGTTCTTTCTTGTATCGATGACGAACACAAACTTTCTTCTAGAGTAACTGAGTCGCACGATAACTACGTCATTGCAAAGGCTCGTGAATCATCACTACGACACATCCCTTATACGGCATTGGTTCTGGCTTTTGTTCACACAGCGCGCGTTCCGGGTCTGAACACGGCAATGTTACTAGGTCCCCAGCCCGGCATCGATCCCGGCATCAATCCCGGGTCGTGTTTGCGTTCACACAGAAGGCACTCTGGCAATTTGCCGGGTTCAAAGCACTGTGTGAAAGGGGCTTTTGTTGCACTCATGGAGGATCAGCTTAAAGGACAACTCCGGCGCAAAATGAACCTCGGGTGTAATAACACATTGGTACAGACTAAATCGTTCCCTGAGATTTGTTTTCATGATAATCGAATATAAAGAGTTTTATCTCTAAAAACAGTTTAGCTTATAACGCTAGTATATTGGGCATCGAGTAAGCAAAAAGAGATCGCTAGTTAATACCATTAACAAGGCTCAAATTAGCCCCACACTAACACGGCAGCATAATGAGTGTCCTTACATGCAAACCGAAGCATTGAGAACTTTGTAAGTGTATAGACAGTTTAATAAGAAGATACTTTACACAGACAGTACAGTTAGCGCATACAGACAGCAGCCATCTTGGAAAACAGTCTCGATCAATAGAACCACGAAGGTGAGCGAACAGTACGTGTAGATATTGAAGATAAGATAAATTATATT